TTGTTTCTTTCAAATCTATTTCTTCGGCTCTGTCGAAGTCCATTTAGGGGTTTATGATGTAAATCTATTAAATTTCTTGAGCCCAGCCCATTTCGCTTAACTATTTACATTTCACATGTGCTAAAAATAAAATCCGTAGAATGATTGACGGATTAATATCACAGTAGATCGAAAAAACAAAGCAGCACAACTCAAACCGTAGCATTTTCTGAATTGCTTTCGGCTAAGTAAGCATCAATTTTCTGCAGAAAAGAGCATGAAGCGAGGTTATGAAGCTGGTGGAAGGATAGAATAACAATGGGGCTAACATAAGGAGCTGAAACCTCAAATGGCTTTTTTTGATGGATGAAGAAAAGTAAATATGCCCGGATGAGTTGAGAAAAGTAGGAGAGAACGAAACTATCCTACTTCTCTGCATATGTGTTCTAGTGTTCTAATTGGACCCATTTCTATACGTGGCTCACACTACCGCAAAAATAGGATAAAATGATATCAGGCAACATCATAAATTTTTGGGCGTTAAAATTATTGTACTGGTTGTGTAATTGTTCCAGAGCCGTGAATCCTTGCTTAGCGCAGGTTCGATGACGCGACAGCTCGCAAATTTTATGTCCGTTCTCAAACTTACAAGGAAATCGCCCCATGTTCATGACTAGCTCATGCCATGTTCAGAGCCGTAACGAACATTGTTCCTTTTTGCTGCAACAAGTTTAGAGCGTTTCTACCACCCTTCGCCCGTATATTAACGACCCCCCTAAAAGGAAAAATAATACATAAAATAATAGAAACTGCGAAAATTGATAGATTTGTTAACTCATAAAGGAAAAGTCTTGAGTGGTATACAATGCAGATTGTCCGCTTTAAGCACTCATTTTAAGTTATTTTTTAAATGGTCGTAGCCAATTATATCTCCAAATTCAACATAAAACATAAAAGCGACCAATCTATTTCTTAACGACCCTGCTAGCTCACAGCTCACATGCCTGTTAGGCCAGGTGTTTTTAGAGGGAAGTTGCACATATCCCCTTTCTAGTCAAGGCGTCGCTTCGCGGCTTTTGCTAAAACTATACTTGATCGCTAGACATTGACATTATTCTCTGTTTCCTGTTGGCCAATCGTCTACCACCGTCTGGTAATTTAACTTAAGCAAATGAAGGTCAACTATTTTCTACAAAAGGAAAATAATGTACCATCTTTTTTTAAATTATTGAGATACGGAAACCATGGTATGCAGTAGTCTCTATCCGTTTTTGGTATATTTAGGGAAAAAACATTGGAGAATCAAGAAAAATTGCGTTCAATCTTTCACAAGAAAAAAATGGAATTTACATTGATGGGCACGATCATATTGACGCTATCGCCGGAGCTGGCA